CCCCATGAAGCAGAACTTCCCGGCTTGTTATTCAGGATCAGATAAATAAATGGAAAGTATGATCTAGTGGCCAAATCACTGGACGACACGACGTGCCACACGCCCTGGGTTCAACTTTGGGGCCTGCCAGGAACTTCCCAAGTGTGTCCGGCACAATTAAACTGTGAAAGCACCGAGCTCACAGAAGCACTCTGATCAAGACAGAGCTTAAAGGCTGCTTGGCACAGCACTGAGGCCAGCGCCTTCCTAGTCCCCTATCTTCTAGGTTCTTAGGACAACCCCTTTACTTAGTCCTGAATTCTGCTTCTGTTCAATTACTTCCCTATCGAGGAAGTTGTCTTGGATCACTTTTCCAGCACTTTTCTCTGGCTATTATGGACTCCTCATTACCTTGTCTCCCAGGGAGCCTCCCCAGCTAGATTTGTATTCTTTGAAGATAACTTCCTGAAACGTATCCTTCCCTCCCGTTTCTTCTATGTCCTCCTCTCCTCCCTACCTGCAGCACAGTGCCTGGGACAGTGCTGGGCACATAATGGGCTAAAGGCAGAGAAGTTTTGCCTCCCTTCTAACTGAAGTCTGCCTGCATCGCCCCTGCAGCCTGATAAAGAATAGGGAGCTCTGGATGGGCGCGGTGGCTCACACCTGTAATCCCAGCACTTTAGGAGGTCGAGGCAGGTGGATCACGAGGTCAGGAGTTCAAGACTACCCTGGCCAAAATGGTGAAACCCCGTCTCTACTAAAAATACAAAAATTAGCGGGGCACGGTGGCAGGTACCTTTAATCCCAGCTACTCGGGAGGCTGAGGCAGAGAATTGCTTGAACCCGGGAGGCGGAAGTTGCGGTGAGCTGAGATCGCGCCACTGCACTCCACCCTGGGCAACAGAGCAAGATTCTATCTCAAAAAACAAACAAACAAAAAAAAGAACAGGGAGCTCAGAACCATTTGCCAAAGACATTCTATCCTCCTGGGCCCACAGACCGACTTTAACCCAGATTATCTGAGGTCAGGTGTCAGGACCACCTATTAAGCACTTCTCTACACAACTCCCTGACCTTGAATTTCATTTATATTAATTGAACTAAAAGCTAGCTTATTACCTACTGGCTTTACAAACTCACTCCAAGAGTTTATCCATTCAACAAATACTCACTGCTTACCAATTGTGTGCCAGAAGTCAGGCTAGGTATTGCGGATGCAAAGGACCTAGCACCTACCCTTAACAAAGCAGAGAAAGCAAACAATTCACCAAGGAATCTAACCTGAATGATGATGACAAGGGCGATGTATAGATCAGGGTGCAGTTAGGTGGTTTCAGCAGAAAGGGATTTTGTACGGGATATTAAATGGCCTAGAGGGTCCTTCAAAGAGCGGAAGTAACAAGACTCTAGGCTGAGCTCCCAGGAGCTACCTATTTGCAAAGATCATGTTGCAGAGCTGGGATGCCATGGAGCTGCTGCTTGTGCTGCCACCAGGTAGCTATGGCACAAGAAGCCACCTGCTCCAGAACCACACCAGGAAAATGCATGTCCCAGGATCCACCCTCTGGAAGGTATCCAGGCTCTCCCTGCAAGACTGTTACATACTTAACACTGGTTCGAGGGCTGGATGTGGTGGCTCACCCCTGTAATCCCAGCAGTTTGAGAGGCTGAGGTGGAAGGATTGCTTGAACCCAGGAGTTTGAGGCTGCAATAAGCTATGATTGCACCACTGCATTCCAGCCTGCACAACAGAGCGAGACCCTGTCTGTTAAACCCCGTCTCTACTAAAAGCACAAAAATTAGCCGGGCATGGTGGTGCATGCCTGTAGTCCCAGCTATTCGGGAGGTTGAGGCAGGAGATTCGCTTGAACCCAGGAGGCAGAGGTTGCAGCTGGCCAAGACTGCGCCACTGCACTCCAGCCTGGGCGACAGAGTGAGACTCTGTCTCAAAAAAAAAAAAAAAAAAAAAAAAAAATGTATACTCTACCGTCAAAAAGGAAGGAAACATGGAGTTGTTCCTTTGACCACATACATGGGAATCTACAAGGTGATACTGTAGACATTAGACCTCAAGGGAATGGGTACTGTTCAAAAAAGGAATAACCCACAAATGTTACCATGGCAAAACCAGAGGCGTCTGCAGTGTTCCCTACCATGCTGTCGGCATTGCCGTACACAAACAAGGGCAAGATTCTGGCCAAGAGAATGAATGTGTGTAGTGAGCACAGTGAGCGCTCTAAGAGCCAAGACTGCTTCCTGGAACGCGTGCAGGAAAATGACCAGAAACACAAGGAAGCCCAAGAGAAAAGTACCTGGGTGCAACGGAAGGGCCAGCCTGCCCCACCTGGAGGAGGGCACTGTGAAGACCAAGGGTAGAGGCCTGAGCTGCTGGAACCTCTTCCCTGGGAATTCACGGCATTACAGGTATAAAAACCAAAAGACCTCTGGACTGTAAAAAGAAAGCAAAGTAGTAAAATAAATACTAACAAATGCTAACTCCAACTCTTTGGCAGCAATACACTGGGCAAAACGTGCCTCCAAGGGCCTCTCCCAAGAAGCCTGTGTACGCCCTACCTCTCAAAATGGGTGAAGTCCCCCTGAGCCCCCCACCTCACCACTCCGGGGAGGGGAGGTGGGCCCTTGGCAGACCTCTAGCCTTTGTGTTCTGCTTACATCTATCCGCTGGCCCATGACAAGCACCTGTGCAGCAGTTGCGAGGCATGCTTGGATGGGCAGCAAGTGTCCCCAGAAGCCAAGCTCCAGTGGCGACCTGACTGCTGGGCCTGCAGCCAAGACCACCTGCCCCCAGCCTACCGCACCTGCCTCGGGTCCTCCTGTACCACTACCTCCCCCTGACGACGTCCTAGCCCTCAAGCCCACTCAAGCCCGACTCCTCCTCAAAGACCCCGCCCATGCCAGTCTGCAGCTGAGATGCAGAGTCGTGTGTGGTCATTTCTCCAGGGAAGGGGTTCTCAAAGTGTGGTTGCTGGAACAGCAGCATCACTAACACCTGGGAACTTGCTGGAAGTGCAAACTCTTAGCACTCCCGCCACAACCCACT